ACTTAGCAAGAATAGCTAAATTGAAAGCATGGAGATCCCTAAATCCCATGCCTCCCTTGATTTTTGGTAGACACATTCTCCACCATGCCACCCAATGCATTTTATTTTCTTCCTCTGTATCTCCCCACAGAAGGCAGACATGACATCAGTGATTTCTTTGCACACCTTCTTGGGGATTTTAAAAACAGACATAGCAAAACAAGGATTGATTGAATGATTGCTTTTAGTAGAATTTCCTTACCACCAAAAGATAACAATTTTTCCTTCCATCCTTTGAGCCTATTAACCACCCTCTCCACCAAATATGTGAAGCTATAACTCTTGTCCAAACCAATCATAGAAGGGATACCAATATATGTATCTGAGAGGGCTTTTGTCGTGATATTGAGTTCTACACATATTTGAGATTTGACTTCTACTTGCACATTAGGACCAAAAAAATACTACTCTTCCCATCACTCACTAATTGACCAGAGCTTGTGCAATAGTCATCCAATACCTGTCTCAATGAGGTTGCATTATTCATATCCTCCTTCATAAGGATTAAGGAATCATCAACAAAAAGTAAATGAGAGACTGATGGTGCATTCCTGCACACCCTAACACCTTCAATGCCACGAACCTCCTCTGCTTGAGCCAAAGCACTAGACAACCCTTCTGCACAAATAAGAAAAAGGTATGGTGACAAAGGGCCCCCTTGGCGGAGCCCCCTTGTGGGAATGAAGCCTCCCATTTCTTGATCATTATATTTCACTTTGTATTTGTAGGACCTTGAAGTATGTATAGAGGGGGGGGGTGATTAGACTACTTGACCAATTAAAAACTTAACCTTTTCCCAATTTTAGAGTTTGGCAGATTTTAGCTATCTTAGGACAAGTCAAGCAATCATTACACTATTCAAGCAAGCATGCAAAGAGTATATAGGCAGCGGAAATTAAAGCATGCAACTTGCAAAAAAATAAAGGGAAGGGTTTGGAGGATTCAAACGCAGTTGGAGACACGGATGTTTTTGGCGTGGTTCCGATAGGTGGTGCTATCGTACATCCACGTTGATGGAGACTTCAACCCACGAAGGGTAACAGTTGCGCGAGTCCACGGAGGGCTCCACCCAAGAAGGGTCCACGAAGAAGCAACCTTGTCTATCCCACCATGGCCGTCGCCCACGAAGGACTTGCCTCACTAGCGGTAGATCTTCACGAAGTAGGCGAACTCCTTGCCCTTACAAACTCCTTGGTTCAACTGCACAATCTTGTCGGAGGCTCCCAAGTGACACCTAGCCAATCTAGGAGACACCACTCTCCAAGAAGTAACAAATGGTGCGTTGATGATGAACTCCTTGCTCTTGTGCTTCAAATGATAGTCTCCCCAACACTCAACTCTCTCTCATAGGATTTGGATCTGATGGAAAGAAGATTTGAGTGGAAAGCAACTTGGGGAAGGCTAGAGATCAAGATTCATATGGTAGGAATGGAATATCTTGGCCTCAACACATGAGTAGGTGGTTCTTTCTCAGAAATGGTAAGTTGGAAGTGTAGGTTTAGTCTGATGGCTCTCTCCACGAATGAAGAGGAGGTGGAGGGGTATATATAGCCTCCACATAAAATCTAACCGTTACACACAATTTACCAAACTCGGTGGGACCGATTCAACAGACTCGGTCGGACCGATTTAGTAAACCTAGTGACCGTTAGTGATTTTTGGTGGGACTGACATGCAACTCGGTGAGACCGATTCGGTTAGGGTTAGGGCATAACGTAATCTCGGTAAGACCGATTACACAAACTCGGTGAGACCGATTTTGGTAATAAGCTTTCCAGAGAGTTGGTCAGGTAAACTCGATGGGATCGATTTGCTCTTTTCTGTGAGACCGAAATGTTACAAAAGGGAAACAGAGAGTTTACATTGCAATCTCGGTGGGACCGATCGCTCACTTCGGTTTGATCGAAACGTTACGAAGGAAAACAGAGAGATTACAATCCCATCTCGATGAGACCGAGATCCCTATCGGTAGAACCGATTTGCCTAGGGTTTGTGGCAGTGGCTATGACATTTGAAATCGGTGGCGCCGGATAGGAAGAATCGGTGTGACCGGTTTTGGCTTTGGGTTTAGGTCATTTGTGGATGTGAGAAAGTAGCTGAGGGTTTTGGAGCATATCACTAAGCACATGAAGCAAGAGGCTCATTAAGCAACACCTCATCCCTCCTTAATAGTATTGGCTTTTCCTATAGACTCAATGTGATCTTGGATCACTAAAATATAAAATGAAGAGTCTTGAGCTAATGAGCTTGAGCCAATCCTTTGTCCTTAGTATTTTGAGGGATCCACTTTCATCATCCATGCCATGCCATTCATTGAGATTTCCTGAAATATATGTCTTGGAATAGCATTAGCTCAATGAGCTATATGTTGTTATGAATTACCAAAACCACCTAGGGATAGTTGCACTTTCAGTATTTAACAAAGGTAACACAAGCTAGTATCAGGTCAATGATCTCTTTGTGGAAACCCAATCTTTTCGTCATTTTTTCAAGAAACTTCCACTCAACCCGGTCATAGGCCTTGTGCATGTCAAGCTTGACAGCACAATATTCAAAATTCCTCTTCTTCTTGCTCTTGATGGTGTATGTAAGCATTCATAGGATAGTAATATATTATCTGTAGTTAGACGCCCAGGGACAAACACACTCTATACCGGAGAAATAATCTCATCAAGGATAGCCTTGAGGCGAAAAGCAATCATCTTGGAAATCACCTTATACAACACATTACACGGGCTAATAGGTCGATATTGAATAATTCTCTCCGGGCTATCGACCTTGGGGATTAAAATAATAACCGTATGTTCCACCCTTGTGGTATAACTTTGTTGTTGATAGCATATAGAACTTCTGCAGTAAGTGCATCACTAAGAATGTGCCAACATTTTTGAAGAAAATCGCATGCAATCCATCGGTCCCTAGGGCTTTCATGTCCCCAATGGAGAAAAGAGCTCATTTAAGCTCTTCTGCCACGTATGATTTTAGCAAAGAATCATTCATCTCAGTAGTGACTCTCGGGGTAACTTTGTTCAAAAACACCGAGTCCGGTTCATCTACTTTAGTGGAGAACAATCCAGCAAAATAATCAGAAATGTGAGGGTTCAGGTAGTCTCTACCCTCGATCCATGCCCCATCGTCTGTAAGTTTACCGATTCTGTTTCTTGCCTTACATGCAGATGCAAAGTTCTAGAAATACGAGGTATTTTTGTCTCCAAACATCAGCTAGTTCAATCTGCTCCTCTGAGCCCACTGGATTTTTTCCATCTCCAACAAGCGCTCAAGCTCTACAGCTAGAACCTTCTGCCTCTAAACATTCTGCGGAGATAGAGAGTCCCTCGCAACTTTCTCCAGTTCTGGTTGAACATTTTTTTATATTTTTCGAGGGTTTCTTCAAAATAGTTATGTCCCATTTATGTAGCTCCTTGTGGATAGCAGCAAGCCTTTCGGCAAGATTAGATGTACCTTCAACATATTTAGAACACTGCCAAGCTTGCTCGACAACCTCACGAAATTTATCCTCCTTTAGCCAACGGGCTTCAAATCGAAGGACCGACTGTTGCGCAGAATCCCGAGAGATCTCTTCATGCATGTTCATAATAATCGGCCTATGATCCGACTTGTAAAAATCCAAATGTTCTAAGACTGCCCCTGGAAACATCAAATTTCATCCATCATTTACAAGAGCACAATCTAACCATTCTCTAATAAGGGCACGATGCCAAGTAAATTTATCACCGATTAATGCATGATCTGATAAGTTACACTCATCCACTACGTCTCTGAACGCTTTCATGAAGTGAGCTGGTCTTTCATTCCCACCTTCCTTCTCAGAAGAGTACATTATTTCGTTCATGCCTCCTATTACCATCCATGGCATATCCCCAATGGATTTTAGTTCCCTCAACCGATCCCAAGATAAATGTTTATCCTTCCACTTTGGCTCATCGTAGAAACCAGTCAACCTCCAAATATTATCAACCCCACTTCCAATAAACACATCGATGAAATTATGCGTCTTATCTCTGAGGGAGACTGCAAACTCTTTTTTCCACAACATTATCAAACCACCGCTCCGGCCATCACTTCGGACAAAATACTTATGATCCATGTTAGTCCGGCGACGTAGACACTCCGCAGGGAACTCATCCAGGTGTGTTTCCATTAGGAACATTACGTCCGGGCTCCTGCGCTTCTGAACATTCAAAAGCGCCCGTACTGCCGCATCGTTTTGCAAGCCACAACAATTCCAACTCAGTATCCTCATTGCAACCAAAAAACCTACCGTATCTTGAACGATGCGGAGGGACAAGAAACCGATCACACCACCCTGCAAAGCAGCGGGGCTGTGCCGGGATAGAAAAACAACTTCTCTAGACGTGTGCTGGGACATGAGCTTTACAGGTGCCTGATCCTTTGAAGCAACCTAGAGAAACAGATCACAGTTCGCAGAAACAACCTAACTCATCTCTTCTCCTCCTCCCGTCTTGCCATCAAGCTAGATTCCCAGGAGGGGCCCATGACCCCTGCCGGGGCAGACACCAGATAGGCAGCCACCGCCGGCGGCGGAGGCGGCCAAAACTCTAGTCGTGCTAGGGATCGCCTTTCTCCTGAAGAAAGTCTTTAGTTGATTGAACCTTAGCTGCTCCCTTCTTAAAGGGAGCCATCAGACGTGGGTTTTTATGTGGAGTGTACCTTTTGCATGGCATGCACACAGCCATTGAGACCTTTATGTGATACATGATGTTTCTCATTACACTTTAAAATCCATTGCAGCTGCGTGCCATGTACATTACCATTCTTCAACCAAGTATACAGTTATGAAAAACTAAATATACAACCCAAGCGTACTTTATGTATGTCTTATTTTCGCACATGTCGTATGCACGGGCCTAATTTAATGACACTTTTGATACACATATACAAGATCTACAAATTCAAGCATAATAGTGTAATACTACTAACTACGCCACATGTCCATTCTGTATACTTTTCACTAGCAGCTTAGCCGACGAAGCGGTCCCCACCACTGCGAGAACAAAACCAACGGCGATCATCGCCGCATTCAGCACGACGACAGGGCGCGATAACCGGCCCCATCGGATCTTGAGGTAAAACCCGCAGGGGAATATGACCGAGATGGCCACGCTGATGAGCGAGCCGGTGAGGCTGAGCACGTACTGGAAATATGGAACCGAGAGCGCCAGCGCCAGGATGAGGAGAAGCCCCGCCGAGCCGATGCTGCCGCGGATGATTATCCGGGCACGAGGCCCCATGGTCGCCGGCAGGTGGTGCTCGAGCTGAATGGCGAAGGGCGCGAACTCGAGCGCGTATTTGGTGACCGGCGTGAGCACGGTGGCCCAGAGCGCCACTTTGGTGACCAGCAGCCCCGGCGGCATGCTGAGCGTGACCTGGGAGTTCACACTGGGACCGAAGAGGCTTGCGCCGACAAATGCGAGGGTCGTGTAGAGCACTGCGACCATGAAGAAATTCGTGACGGAGACCCTGGTGAAGCTGGAGCGGTCCTTCATGGCTGTGTAGATGTTGGGGAAGACGATGTGGCCGGCGTAGCTGAACATGTACAGGCCGGACACCGTCGGGATCTTGTCAAGCCTGAGGACTGGGATGTGCTTGCCCAGGCCGACATTGCTGAAGGCTGCGGTGCAGAGGATGGTGACTAAGATGACCATCGACATGAGGATGCCGACGAAGGAGAGGAAGGAGATGGACGATAGGTTCCTCAGCCAAAGGCTGGGAAGAGCCACCAGCACGGCCATGACGGTGAGCAGCTGCGTGGTGCTGAGGCGCAGCCATGGTAGGTGGAGGCGGACACCGGCGAACACGAGCGGGATGTTGTCGCTGAGGGAGATGGTGTAGGAGACCAGGGCGAAGAATATCTCGAGGTAAATGAATGCCGAGGCGATCAGCCGGCCTTTGGAACCGAACGCCTGTTGGCCAATATCCTGGTACGTCTTGGAGCTGGGCTCCTCGTCTAGGCACCTGCCGATGATGTGCGCGGTATAGGCGCACATGATGCCGAGGCCGACCAGGAGGAAAATGGAGGCCCAACCGCCGTTTTCCAAGGCATAGGGAGTGGAGAGCTGCCCAAGTCCTGAAAAAAAAAACAGTAATGTTCAAAATTTGACGTTTGATTTTTAAGCATTGCAAATCAAATGTTTTTATGACAATTTATGTTTGACGCGAGGCTGACAAATTTAACTTACAAACACGCAATTCTCTGGCAAAAAAAAATGAACTGGGGCAGATTTGTCATGCATGCTTGCCAACTAAAAGTTGTTATACCCGGCAAACATAAATTGCCATAAAAACATTCCATTTGCCATGGTAAAAAATCCGACATCAAATTTATAGTTGAGTCCAAGATAGGTCAGTGATTTAGTAAAAGATACAATATTCGTCCAGATTAGGAATATTTTACCTATGAGCATGCCAACCATGTTGATGACCGACTGGGCAAACGTGCTGGCAGGCTTGCTGTGGTGCTGCTGAGTGGTCACTGCCGCGGCCGCGACCCTCCCCCCGCCAGCGCGCGTCGTCTCCTCCTGGCGAATATGGCGATTGCTAACCATATGCGCGACAAAATCCGCGTCCTCCTCCTGGCCCTGTGCACACCTACACGGCTTGCCGGCTTCCACGTCGCAGGCATCGCAGCCCCTGCCCAGCTGCTGCGCCGCGAGCCGGGCGCCGTGCATGCTCTCGCTCGCCACCTGCTTAGGCTGCGGGCACAGCAACTGGCACCACCGACTCGCCATTTCTGCTTCCGTTAGTCGCAGTAGTGGTACTTAGAGAAGCGTGTTGTTATCTATACGTGTGGGTTAATTAGTGTATAGCTGGATGTGCTCTACTATACTCGCCTTGTTCAAAACGACGTTGTGCTCGTGCCTATTTATACTAGTGTCTTGATTACAGGGGGGTCGATCGATATGGAGAAGGAAGATGGAACCTTGTTTATCGAGTGAGTGTTCGAGTGACAATGTAGACATGTTCAGCAACCGCGCGAACCTGGGAATTAAGATGCGTAAAAGTATCGGAATGCCGGAGGAACCTCTCCCTGCACTGTCGCGTATCTTCCAGGTGAGCTGGATTTGGAGGCGCCGTGGCAAGCCCTGCGCTAGTACCGCAGATGCCAGTTGCATTCAAGTGGAGCCGGATTCGGATTCCTCCGAGCAACGAGCAAGATGCCAGGTGGTGCCCGATTTGTTCCGGGAATGTGGCACACGGTCCGGAAGCCACCACCCTCGCCCCACTTGGAAGATCGAGTGCGTGGGGGGCATGGTAATTGGCACCCAATGCAAGCGGTCCAATGTTCATCGTCATCGTTCGCTTAATTCGGATCTGGTCCATCGATCCATGCCGCCACCACACAAATATGCTTCGCCGCAGGAATTTGCCGATGGCTGGCGCTTAACACATGGGCGGATCGTGGATGAAAACGCCCGTGGCCGCGCGATGGATATGTCTGTAGATTTTGCGATTCCTCACTCCTCAGCCGCCGTATCTTCCTCACTGCTTGGAGGCTGCTCGTTACAGTTGATGGACGTGATAAGCGTGCCATGCTTAATTCAATTAGTTTTTCTTTTCGTTACAGTGTTCCTCTTTGATGGTTGGAAGTAGGGCAACATCTCGGTGTCATGTCTTGTCACATGAGGCCCCGATGTGATTCCTTTGAAACCTGGCTTCATAGTAGCCATGAAAAAGAAATAACTCTCCCAAGTCATATTGGTAGGATTTTTCAGCACGGCATTTTAAACACTTCTCGCAAAAAAAAACCTTTTATTTTCTTTTAAAAGGGAGGATTACCCCGGCCTCTGCAAGGAAAGGAGGGCACCTAGACTCACTCGCTCTTTTTACATAAAGATAAGCTACCACATTGCCATCTCTCCAAGTAAAGCTCAAAAGGAAACAAGAGAAGTTTATGCATAACTCCTAAATCTCATGTAGAATGCCTCCAACTTCTGACCATTCAAATTTGTTGATCTCCCACAACTTGACACTGTTGCGCGTCTGTTTCGATGTGAACATGTTGTAGAGCTCTCTCTAGTGCCATCATAACCCCATCACAGATCACTAGGGCCTCCATTGTTAGTGGATTTGCCGCTCTCTCATACTGAGCTTGAGCTCTCAAGAAGTTCCCATTCCTGTCCCGCCACACCAAGCCCGTAGCACCGAACCACTGTTTCAAATAGCCCGCTATAGCTCCGCTATAGCACGCTATAGCGTTTATAAAAGGTCTTGCGCTAAGAGACTTTGATCCAAACAAATGAACAAACATTTTAAATAGCGCGCTATAGCTCCGCTATAGCAGAGCTATAGCACGCTATAGCATTTGAAAAAGGTCCGGCGCTAAGATGCTTAGCGCGCTATTTAAAACTTTGCACCGAACCTAGTCACCTACATTTGATTCAAATCATACTAGTACCGTTACATGCCTACATCTGACACGCTAGCGCACACTAGCAGTTGACGTGGCCTCTGAATCAAATTCAGAGAGTTTTGCTCAGCAAAATCGGGTGAGATCTTTTTGGGAAGTTCCCTTGATCTCTATCTTTACTAGCTGTTTTGTGTCTGGTTATCTTTTCTCTGTACCAGTTATTGTTTTCCTTGATGAATATCAGATATGATATGTTTTCAAATTGCCTACTCCAGAGTCACGAGCGAAGGAATATCCATTGGCGTCGACCTCGTGTAAGACCCGACTGTGTTGTTGTTGGATGAGGTCAACTCTAGCCTTGTCTGCAGCTTTGCACAACGCATTGTCAATACACAAGGACTTGGCCACCGTGCATGACAAGACTATCGTGCCCACCATCCACCAACCCAGCTTCCGCATCCTCGAGCTACTCCATGGTGTCGTCGTTCTCGTTAATTGTGTCATCCATGATGATGTCCGGCCTCACAACTCTTGTTCTTCCTTGAGGCCAACCTTACCGCCTTAGGCCACTTCATTGCCACCTACTTCAACGTCCCCGTCGTTATTGCCACCATCAAACTTACCATGTCATACCAACTAGACCCTAGGCCGATGGATGCATTTGTGCACCATGACGTGTATGCAAGCTCGATGATAGCTGAGGGCGGTTCATGATCATTGTACTGCGGTCATTATAGCTGTTCGCGGCGAGGCTTTGTGGACTAAATTGTACCCTTGCAGCAAGTTCATGGGCCTGTAGGCACTTACGGTCATGTCAAAACTCGATCTTAAATCCATAAATACATACACTGTTATTTACTTCTTGAAATTGTTTTGCATTATGGTTTTTTTGGTAAAAACAAGTAACTTATGTATACGTTATAAATTTGCTTCTTCAGAACTGCAAGCTTTGATGTATAAAGCTTTGATGGGTCCCAGTCAAGCACACTTGATTTTGAAATTCATCTGGAAGAGCTATCTAGAGTTAGACATAAAATCTTCTTTTGGTTGTTGCTCTATGACAGAATCAACACCAGGATTTTGCTTCACAGGAAAACTGTGTACCAGATTATAATTGTGCTCTTTGTCTTGATAAAACTGAACAAACCCTCACTCATCTCTTCTGGGATTGTGAATTTGCTAGATCATGCTGGAACACAATCATCCCTGCCAAGAAGAGAGGGATCTCATGCTATGATGAAATATGTTTTGCTTTGACATAACTTCCTTCAAAGATTGCTATGGACATTGTTATTATGGGTTGCTAGGGGGTTTGGTCCATCATAAATGATAAAATCTTTAGAAATGCAACACCACATTCATATGTGGCACCACTATCTGAGAGAGGGTTTAAAAGTGGCCATTATCAGGGCAAAACTAGCAAAGGCTCAGTAGATTTAGAATTGGATAGATAATTTTCTTTCATTTGTTTCTTATGTTTCATAGAACTGGTATTGGCTGATTGCCACCTTTTATATTACCATGTATGTACATATTGTTATGTATAAAATATACCGTAGAACTATTGTTCTATGGTCCACGTTAAAAAAATGCAAGCTAATCCTGTTTTTTGCGGATGAATCTTGTTAATTCTTTGATTGCTAAAGATTCATACACTCTGTGGTGTAAGAAAAAATGAAGGATTTTTCACTATGGTGTTTTGAACACTTTAATTTATGGTTATCGGAATGGAAACATGCCATTTTACAAAAGCCATTCACCTTTGTATTAATTTAATACAAATCTTAAGAGGAATTCCTCATTTTCCTTTCCATTTTGCCTTGTTTTTGAAGTCTATAATAAGTTACTAACAAGTGTTGCAAAGATGTGATAGAACGTTAAATTCGTTATTTTGCAGAAAAAATATACTCATGCATATAATATATGGATATTGTTCTCATCCATATTCCCTTATTTAGCCTTATTTTGCAGAGTAACATAATTTTTTTCTTGCCACACATGCATATATGCTCTTGTGGAAGCATTCCCCATTACAAGTAAAGAATGTTGCACACCTATTGGAATATATGGATATTGATATTTCTTTCACCTTTAGAATCCCTTCCATGATGGTTGGAAGTAGGGCAACATCCTGATTCCATTGAAACCTGGCTTTTATAGTAGCCATGAAAAATAGAAAACTCTTCCAAGTCATATTGGTAGGATTTTCAGTAGGGCATTTTGAACATTTTAATTTATGGCTCCCCATAATGAAAATGAGCCATTTTACAAAAGTTCTTCACCTTTGTAATAAATTTAGTGCAAATCTTCAGAGAAATTACTCCTTTTCTTTTCCATATTTGCCTAGATTGTGAAGTATAATTTTTTTTGAAAGATCCAGCAATTGCTGGCTTTTTCATTGATTATAGAAGGAAGCAGCGGGAAACAAAATGGGAGGTGAAGATCCTAGGATCAGTGCATAGGATTGGCCACAGGCGGCCGAAAAACCCTAGTACAGGAAAAGTTTTTCTCTCAAGGTGGTTCCCCGAAGGGGCTCTCGATGCACACTGCTCCTGAGATCCTCCAGAGCTCGATGCCGTCTCGGATGCGCCTGATAATTTCTCGCATGCTCGGCAGGTTGTGCCAAAAGATGCAGTGGTTTCTTTCCTGCCAGATCTCCCAGCACGCCAGCAGCAAGATTGACCGCGTCCCGTGCCGCCGTGGGGGATCGGTGCGCGCCAAGATGCTCTGGATGATCGTGGTGGAGTTTCCGTGGCTCCAGCAGCTCGCAGGGGAGAGTGCGGAACAACCCTGCCATTGTCCGATCTCGCTCCAAACATGCCTGGACTCCGGGCAGTTCCAGAACAGGTGGCCCGAGGATTCCGGGTTTCTGACGCAGAGCTGGCAGAAGTAGCTGTTCGGCCAGCCCCGCCGCTGTAACCTGTTATTGCACCAGAGCCTGTCCCGGAGCAGCAGCCATGCGAAAATTTTGATCTTCCCTGGCGTCCAGGCTTTCCAGACCAGTTGGTCGAAGTTGGTCGCCATCCTGTCCTAAAACTGCGCCTGGTAGGCGGACCTGGCCGAATA